ACAGGGGAGGAAGGTGAACTTCGTCTCAAATTGGGGACAGCGGATCCTGCTTTGGGGGAAACAACAGCCAAACCAACCCCGCACATCCTTCACCGTGGATCTGCGACCAAAAGCACGTCGACCTCAGCAACCCGCAGGAGCCCTGCCCTCTCCCCTCCGTTCTCGGGGTGGGACGGCTCAGCCCAGGGGCTGACGGGGGGCTGTGAGGTCCTTTCCCATGCTGTGATCCGGTGATGTCCGTGGCGGTGCCCGCGTCGCTGTCACACAGTGCCACCTCGTGGGTCCCACCCGGCAGGAAAGCCGGGCAGGCGGCTCCACCTGGTGCAGATTTTTGCTCCGCAGAAGCAATTCGGGGGCTGCAGGAGGTCGGGTTGGAGGGGGAGCGGCGAGGATGCTCCCGTCGCCTCCATCCGGAGCTGCTGACTGCACCGCGGTGCCTCGGTTTCCCAACTGGAAGACTCAGGGTAAAGCCTCGGCTTCACATCTGCATCTCATTCTCCAGGGCTGCCGGGAGGTGGGGATACCCAAAAATCGGCCCCCCGTCCCAGCTGTTCATCCCACCCCGCTCAGTGCCTCACCATCAAAGAGAATTCTCCCTCATTTTATCGAATTTAACATTTCTCTGTCTGTTTTTTTCTCCCAACCCCGCACAGATTCTGTTTCCACGCACCTGTATTGCACAGAGCACCTACAGCAGGAGGGGAGGGGGGTTCAAGTGCCCTCCCAGATCCATTCTCTGCACTGGGATTCCCCCAGGGGGGAAAGAAACCATATTCCTGGTTCTTTCCTATGGCAGCAGCCCTCCCTCCCCGTGCCATAGCTGCCATCCCAAAGGCACACCAGCGCCTGCTGCACTTTGGGTTTCCTTGCTGAGTGTGTTTTTCAGGCAGCTCTGCTGGGAGAGGAAGAAATCAAAGCTCCCCCCCCCCCGTGCTGTGGGGTGGGCTGGGGATGAGGCAGCAGCACAGCAGCCAGGATTGGTATTGCAGGGCCTCCAGGCTTTAAGGGGGGCTGCACCCATAACCCCACATCGCTCACTGGAGGTGGCTGCGGGGGAGCTGGGAGCAGCTGCTCCTACAGAGCTGCCCTTTGGCTCCTATTGTCCCAACCCTCATCCTGCAGGATGTGCTCTGCTCCTGCTCCCATGCGCCGTCCCCTCATCTCCAGAGGACGTTCAGCAAACCTGTGCGACCCTTCTGTGATGCCACCTCACCCTCAGCATGAGTGCAGTCACAGCCAAGTGCCCCCCATGATACCCACACCACTGCACGGCTCCTCTGCTCCCACCCATCCTCCCCTCTTTCAGCTCTCCAGGGCTGAACCAGCCAGGGGAACTACAAAGATAGGAGGGGAGAGGCAGCCCTGCTTCCCATGGGGCTCAATACTGAGCCAGTACCCAACAGCTGAAGTAACTGGAGATCCCTGATCCTCCTCCAGCTTCCCAGTACTCCCAGTGCTCTGGCTGAGCCACCAGCACGTCAGCAGGGCATGGCAAGAGGAGCAGATGTCTTACCAGTCCCTGTGCCCCATCCAGTGCAGGTTGAGTTGGTGCAGGATGGAAGGAATCGCCCCGAGTGAGGTCCACTGCTGGATGGAGGCACAGAAAGGGCTCAGAGAGGAGAAAAGGAGACAGAAGGATGAACAGAAGTGACAGGACAGGATAGAGGCATTGACACCCATAGGTGCTGGCAGCCCTGGTGCTCTCTGCAGCCCCACAGGGACCCACAGCCCACCCCAAGGAAGGAAACAGAGGCAGAGAAGAGGCTTGGTAAGAACAGACTTTTAATCAGACTCCATCACGGCCATTACAGGGCTTTTCTCACCTGCTGAGGAGTCCGGCCGGCACAGCAGGAGTGGTAAATACACCGGCTACGAGGATACATGGGACGAGTTTCTATCAGATCTGTGCTTTTACCTGTACAGGAGGGCTTGGCCAGCATTGTGCTTACCCACAGCGGAGCAGCCCGTGTGCTGCAGGGGCTCTGCCTGAACCTGGCTGCGTCCCTGGGGGTTGGCAGAGCCACCTGGGCACCTGCACACCCCGCTCCTGCTGGTGAGAGCCGGGGTGGAGGGAGGAGGGAGGCAGTGGGAGCAGCTCAGGAGGAGCCGGGGGAGCTGCAGGGAGGGCAGGAGGGGAAGCCCTGCTCTGTAGTGGGGCTCCTGATCCAGCCCTGCTCTGAGCAGTAGGATCTGGGCTGGGAAGGGAGGGGAGAGCTGGGGGTAGGGGGGGGAGTATTGGCAGCATCCACCCCCCCCTGCTCCAACTGCCCAGAGGGAAACTGGAAAGTGCCTGTGCTGACAGCTAGCAGCTATTCCCTGTGCCTCTGCGGGGAGAAAACAAACCAAAAGTGATCGCCAAGGCTAAAAGTCACCGGGGATCGACCCCAGGAAGGTGAACGGGGGGGGGAGAACCAGGGGGAAGAACCCCTCCCCCCCATAGGCTCCCAAAGTGACCGAGTACAGCAAGAAGTGACCCCAAATGCAAGAGCAAGGCGCACAACCCACACACACGGCGTGACTGACAGACAGACACACGCACACAGCGACGACACGGAGCACCCACAGCTTCACACCCCCCCACCCCATCCACCGCCCCCCGCAACACCGAGCAAACACCACGAGAAATACACAACCTCCACGGATAAAAAGAAAGGCGTCTGCCCCCCCTCCATAGCCCCCACCTCCCCTTGATGGGGGGTCTGGGGTTTGGGGGGGGGGGTCGACACACAGCCACCCACCACGCACGAGAAATAAAAAGGTAAAAATCGGTCCGATGTACAGTGAGAATTGATCTGTACAGCACTGGGGGTGAAAACAGGGTCACGGGCCACTTTGTCATTGAACAGCATTTACAGTGACATTTACAGAATAAATATACAGTAGAAATAGAGAATCTGTGGGTTATTATTCCATCTCCTCTCCTCTGTTTTATATATATATATATATAATATAGCTTTCTTGGTACCTTCCTGTTGGTTTTGCCTCTTCCTGGTGGTGCAGTAAGAGGGGTGGGAAGCGAACGCCTCCCTGCCCAGTTTGGGGCTGGCAATGGGAGGGATGGGGGGACTGAAGTGTTCCCCCAAGGGCTCGAGGAGCATCGCAGCACGGCAGCAGATGGGACCTGGTGAGGTGCCCTGCTCCCCAACTCCATGGGAGCTGCGGTGGGGATCCAGCCCCTGGGCTCAGTCACTGCCACTGGGAAGGTGACACCGGGCAGCGATGGGGGAAACTGGGGACACAGGGAGGAGGAGAGGTGGAAAAAAGGGGTTTTGTGCTTCTCCCACTTGGAGGTGACGCAGTGGGGACATCTCTGTGTCCCTCCGCAAGGGCAGGAGGAGGGGAAGGTTAACCTGGATGAGGGCTGGAGAAGAGGTGGGAGCGCAGCTGATCCTGGGGCTGGTGCTTCTTCTGCCATCAGCAGGGCGAGCTGCTTTGGTTCGGTCCCCATCTTCATTTCCCCTCTGGAAAAGCAGCTAACGAAGGGCCTGTGCTAATTGCCCAGTAAGACACTCCAGCTGAGCCCACGATGAGAAGGACTGTAAACACAGCATCCCAAACCAGAGATAGACAGGTGGGAACCTCCCAAACCTCCCACCTGTGGGTGGGCAAGCAAGGCTAGAGGGGCTCGTGGGCATGGGAGCCAGGAACGTGGCCTGCAAAAGTGTTTGAAATGCCCCCAGATGTGATCTCAGCCCAACAGGACTGGAGTAAGGAGCTCACTCAGCTTCTGAGACCACAAACAAGGCGCTGCTCCCCTGCGCCCACGGAGAAAAGAAGGAAAGGTCGCTTCAGGCTGTACTGCCAGCAGAAATTCTTGGCTTTGTGTTTGATTCAGGGAAACCTTCAGCGTCAGAGGGAGAAACTCAGAACTGGGAAAACCCAACCGACCTTCCTCACTCCCACAGGCTTTGCATCCATGCGCTCCCCAGGCAGTGTGGAGAGGCACCACGGAGGGCTCAGCAGTCTGGATGCAGCTCATGGGGATGCTGGGACCCAGCGCTGGCTGCTCAAACGTATCCTTCCATCTGCCATCCCCAAAAGCCAGCTCACCTCCCACAGCCCAGGGCTGTTTCCTGAGAGCCAAATCAGGGCTGCTGTAGGACCTGGTACCCCACAGCTCCACGTGCCTAAAGAAAGCAGCAAGAGGAGATGACCACCACACCGGGGACGGTGGTGCAGTAGAGCATCCCGTAGGTCCGGGGCCATTCCAGCAGGGCGCTCCCTGCTCCATCCCCACTGCCCTTCTAGACCTCACATGAAATCCCTCATTTTGGAGGTGCTGCCCAGTAGATCTGCCTGCCCACAGCCCGTGCCATCCCGACATCTCAGAGCACACATCACCCCCAGCACACCTGGGAACACCCTGCAGACCCCTTCCCTGTGCTGGTGGTGATGGGGCAGCCTCCAAAGAGCCGCCAGCTGCAGTCCCACACATCACCATAACTCAGCCCCGCGCCGCTCCCTGCCGACCCTGGCCAAAACACTGGGGTTATCTGAGCGTGTCCACAGCTAGAAAAACTACAGGAGATACAACAACAACAACGATGGCAACAACGGCAGCACCCTTTTGTGCTATGAACATCGACGGTTAATTGTGCTCGTTGGAATAAGGCCATGACTCCTCCCAGCTAAAGGACAACAGACTAAGGGCAGAGCACTGGGCTGCAGGAGGAGGCACGGCTGGCTTTCCACCTGACGCCAGGTCCTTTTTCCAACCACCAGCTGCTTGAAAAGAGAGATTGGAGCTGCGAGAGGACAACCCTGGGAAAAGCATCGCAGCATCCCTTGCTCCTCCCTTCCCTAAGGCGAGCCCCAGGTCCTGCCCTTTGCTGAGGGCTGTTGGAGGAGTCCTGCCCCTCCCGCAATCCCTTCATCATCGTAGGAACGGCTGCTTTTGGTTACAACTTAAAGAGGGGTTTCTTCTTTGATAGTTTTCCCGTTGCCTGGACAGCCAGGATCCACTCCCCACGACCTCTCCTCTCCCGGGGGGTGGTCAGCTGCCCAGCATCACAGTTCAGACTCGGGGGTGCCAGCCGTCAGGTACCCGCTCCCATAGCGTCCGTTGGGCGCGCTGCTCATCTCCATAGGGGAGTTGCTCCCAGGACCCAGGTAGGAACGGTGGGTGGGCATCGGGGATGGGGTCTCGCTCGGCACCTTGCTCAGGATGAAGCGCGTCTCGTCGTTGTCTTCCAAGTTGGAGATGTCCTTCATCATCCGGCCCTTCTTGTAGGTGACCGAGAGGGTGTTGGAGCCGTCTGACACCAGGTGGAACTGCCGGAGGATGAAGACCAGAGGCAGAGGGAGGGAAGCCAGGATGATCAGGGAGATGAGGATAGCCATGGCCCAGGTTGGGTAAAAAAGGAACTTCTCTGCAGCCTGAAAAAGAGAAAAAGATTGGTGTCAGGGAGCTGCAATGCACGCCAGGTCCAGCATCTCCTAAGCGCTCAGAAGCTCCTGCCAGCCTTCATCTTAGGAAGTTATCAGATGGCGAATCAAAGTGGATAAAAGAGCACGCACTGTGGTGGAACCAAGACAAAGCCCAAGGGCACTCTTCAGCCCATACTCCGAGCTAGCTCGAGCCTTCTGGGCAGCAGGGGAAAACGGCGGCCAAGAGGGTGGGATGCATCCCAGCTGGAGGAATAAGCAGAGCTGGGGTGGGAACCCTGCTCACCTCCTCTCTGATCCACGCGCTGTAGCCCGGGGGGCTGACTCCCAGCTGGATGATGCTGGCAGTCATGAGCACAGCCATGCAGATGGGAGAGACGTACTTCCAGGTGTAGTAGTAGAACTGATAGGGCCGAAAGCCCAGCATCTCTGTCAGTTCCTGCATGAACCTGCCGAAAGGGAGAGATGGAAACACACTGCTCCCCACCTTCCAGCAAGAAACTCCCTCCCAGGAGCCCTGCTGCAGATTAGACTCGAAAAAGAGCCTGGGGAAGAGCCCAGCTGAGCCACGAGATCATCGCAGTCTTTCAAACCCATGGGATGGGTTGGGAACCTCCCATGGAAAAGGTCACCTGGGCCTCCCTTGCTCTGGCCAACTCCTGACAACGAGAATAGGAACTGAGGGAAAGAGCTGCCCTTCCAGAATGTTCCAGAAACCTCAGATAAGACTATAATGACAAGCAACAGAGCTCCACAACCAAAGCAAGATACCCATTAGTGGGACTCGTTCTTGGTGCTGGGTTACAGCTGGGGCAGGGTAGAGGATCAAGGCAAACAGATCTCCTGCCTTCAGGTATTTGCTCCATCAGAGCTTGCCTCTTGGAAAATCAGGACAGAGCTGGAAGGCGAGGGGGTTTTACCCAGCAGTTACAGCCAAGAAATTCCATTTGTGGCGCCAACACCTTACTTCTTAGTGCCGTAAATCCAGGCCACAGCGATGTTCTCCAGGATGACCACGACGGTGAGCGGCAGCGTGGCTGAGTAATCATCAAACATGGTGACAAAGTAGTTCCCAGAGCGCTGCACGAAGATCAGGCCCACCACAAAGGCGAAGATGCAGCAGCCAACTGCGGGGAGAAAGACGGGCGTAGGTTAACAGAGCGCGGGTCGGTCGGCGCTGATGTGCCACTGGTTGAATGATCCTAGTGGCCGTTCCCAAACCTAACGATCCCATGGTCCCGAGGGTAACTGAGGCCTCTGCCATAGGGTCTGATCCCACTACACGTCCACGTGTCCCCGCTCTTCTAGGATGACAGTGGGGACCCTCCAGCCCCAACCCAGGAGGATGCAGAAGACCTCACCTGTGAACACCTCCTTCCGCACCTTGAAGGTGTCGATGATGGGAGTGGTGATGCCCGACATGGTCCCGATCATGCTGCCCAGCCCCAGGTTTATCAGCATCAAGAAGAACATGACGGACCAAAATGGCGAGGCTGGGAAGTGGGTCATGGCTTCTGTGAAGGCGATGAAGGCCAGGCCGGTTCCTTGCACTGACTATTTAGGAGGGGGGGAAAAAAAAAGACCAAAAAAGGATGAAGAAACGTGTCAGGCTGCGTGTCTCAGGGCTCTCTCGTCCCACTGAACAGCTCCTCAAGGAAAGAAAAATCCACCCTAAACACCTGGTGTGGAAGTGGCAGTGAGCCTATTAGACTTGCTACCATGGGCAGACCATTCCCACGCCCCAGGAAAGACCCCAGGAACAGGGAATTCCCATCCTTGGAGGGTCACTGGAAACAGTTTTTCCAGATCCGTGTGCCAGGAGCAACACAAACAGCTCCCAGCAGGGACTGCCAATGGGTGAGGTGATTTCTCTGTCCCATTAGGAATGCTGTGGGGTACCTTGTCCAGCTCATCCTCCAACAGACACGCGTCCAAGCCCAGCTCTTTGAAGTGCCCCTCTTTCACCGTCATGATCACCCTGTACATCTCGTTGTAGTCCTTGGCTGTCAAGTGGGAGAAGTTCACGTGGGGTGGGATGAGGTCGTGGCTGAGCACATTGGTGTTCAGGTATCCCAAGATCTTCTCAGCATTCCTAAGGGGGAGCAGAATCTGGTCACCCAGAAACGTCCCCTTCCATCCAGTGTGAGAACCTGTAGACCATAGTTCCCAACCAAAGCCAGAAAAACTGTGCCCTCAGCTACAAGGGGGCACCTCTGGAAATCCAGATCTTGATCACAAGCAATCTGGGTCCTCCAAAACACAGCGTCACCCAGTCCTTGAGCCACAGCCCCGCCAGCACAGGTTTCCCCCAACCCCCAGATGGACAGAAAGCAAATCCACCTACTCCACCACGCATTTCTCATTCATGATGTTGGCCTTGAAGCCCAGCACGGCGAACACAACCAGGGTGGCCAGGACAGACGTGAAGAAGTTGATGAAGGAGACGAGCGTGGCGTCGAAGTGGCAGTTGTTGTCCTGCTTGTTGTAGCTGGAGAAGGCGATGACCCCCCCAAAGCCCAATCCCAAGGCAAAGAACACCTGCGTGGCTGCCTCCCGCCACACCTGGGGGTCCAGCATCTTATCCAGCTTGGGGAGAGGGGACACAGAAAAAGGAATGAGGGCTGGTGGTGGTGCCAGAGCCGTTCCATCCTCCAGAGCCTTCAGCATCGTTTAACCCCAGACCTCGCCCCCCTCCCCTGCAGCAGGCTGCGGGCCTCCGAGAGCCGTTCATCGGGAGATCCTAATTAGTATCTTGTAACAGCCTCGCCAGCAGAGCTGTTTCATCTGCATCGCTTCATCATTAATTAATTAGCTCGTTAATTGCATAAACACCAGTGGAGGTTTCGCTACCAGCCAGCATGATCTCACAGAGCCCCTAAGCCCTTCTATAGATGCATTGCTGAGGGTAAATCCCCTCCCCTCGCCCACCCAAAGGGAACAGGAGCGATGCCTCGGGCAGTGCTATGATGACCACCTCAGGGCTGTAACACCTCCTGCCTCGTTTATCGGGACCTTTGAGGCCGACGCTCTGATTTTTTGGGGTGGAAACAAGAGAAAAAGAGGATTCGGTGAAATGATGTGCACAAAGGATGAGCAGCCCCGAGGATAAACCTGCTGGGGGTCTGCTGAGTTCTCACCTTGGGGGTGAACATGTGCATGATCCCATCCACCGCCCCGCGCAGCAGGAGGCCCCGCACCAAGAAGCAAACCAGCACCACGTAGGGGAAGAGGGAGCTGAAATACATCACCTGGGGCAAGAAGAATGCATGCAGGGTGGGCATCATCTCCCTTACCGCTCAGCCCCGTCCCCACATCCATCCCCAGGACATCACAAACTGGAGACAGAATGCTGGTGCCAGATAAGCCCTGGGGAAAGACAGCTCTGCATCCCCACCACCTCCCAGCACCACTGGTTCCCAGCATGGGGCTCCCTCCCAGTGTCCCAGTGATGTGAATTGGGCTTCCTCCTGGGCACAGGGGATGTGATACCACCCCACTGCCATGGGGCAGCAGCCTGCTTACCCTGTGCTACCCGCTGATGCGCCCTGTAAAACATCTGGCACATCTGGAGATGGGTTCCATCTGAACATCACGGAAAACCAACGCATCTGGAGGACGGATTGCTGCTACCCACCTTCCCCGAGGACTGGATGCCTTTGATCATGGCCAAGCCAACGAGACTCCAGGCCACCAGCAGGCAGAGGGTCATCTTCCAATTGAGTCCCCCACTCTCTGAGATGGAGTTGGAGATGTCCAGGGCCTCCCGGTACCAGAAGTAGGTGGTGGCCGAGCTTCTCTCACATTCAGTCTCCACAACTGCAGATGAATGGGGGTACCACAGAGTGAGGGGTCGGGGAAGAGCCACCAGCTGCCTCTTCTCACTCTGTCCGTGTCCCCATCCCAACCTCCAGTGTCCCCAGCCTGCAATAGCTGAAGGTTTTGAGGGTCTCCGGTGTCCCACAGCCCCACTCCCCATCATTTACCCCCATATCTCACCGGCCACGGAGCCATTCTTGACAATGGGGCACTCGCTCCAGGGAAGGGGGTACTGGAAGGACTTGAAGAAGTAAAAGATGCTCCAACCGATGATGACGTTGTAATAAAGACCAACAAAAAAGCAGACCTGTGTTGGGGGTTGAGGAGGACACGCTGTGAAGCAGTGAGGACAGTGCTGGTGTTCCCATTGAGCAGGGATCCCGAAACGTGGATGGCCTCATTCCCAAACCAGCCCTAAGCTCACAGATGGAGCTGAAAAACTCCACTCAACCCTTCAATCTCCCACACTGGGCTCAGTGAGGTTTGCCCCAGGCCATCCCCCATTTGCAGCCTGCAGAGCATCCCACCAACCCCAATGCATGCTCACCAGGCAGCTGGCATAACCGATGCCACCGAGGCGGGGACAGATGTAATTCCAGACACCAATGCTGCCCCGACGGATCCGCTGCCCCACTGCCAGCTCCAGGAAGAACAGCGGGAGGCCAATGATGATGAGCAGGACCAGGTATGGGACCAGGTAGGCGCCTGGCAGGGACAGAAAGCTTGTCATGGACCCATCTGCCTGCTCTTATATCCCGATGAGGGACATGCTGCGTCTGTCACTTGGTTTGCAACAGAAAACACACGTGCGTGGCAGGGAACCCTGCTGCATCCCCTGGCACTGTGGGAATGTGCAGGATATGCGAGCTCTCTGCTAGGGGTAAAATGGCTCGGAACAGAAAGGAGGTTAATCTCCATCTAATTGGGGAGACCAGAGAGAAATTAGCAGTTCATGAAGCATAACCAAACGGCTGTAAAAGATGCGATGACTCACGCTGCAGCGCCCGGCTGATGGATGGCTCCAGCCTCTGCCAGGGGCTGCCGGACAGCACTGGGAGCACGTGGCTGCAGAGCTGAGATTTATGGCCCAGTGACAGCCACCAGTGCTGGGCCAGGGATGGATGGGGCCGAGGATGCATTTGGAGCAGAGGTGAGGAGGCTCGTTAAGGAAGAGGTTCATTAAGGAGCAGGAAAATGGAGATGTAGGCAGCCGGGGTGCAGCTGGACACTGGTGTAACTGGGAACACCCGCAAGCTTCCCATCCCTGCAACACCCTCACGGGCATCTCAACCTCCAGACGATGAGACAGATGGATCTGTTTGGATGCAAACTTCTCCAGCATCAGAGATTTTCCTCCCCTGACCCCTGGGAGGACGGCCACCAGCTCCTGCCCATGCGTCATCGTCAGCACACGCGGCTCCCGGCACACCGAGTGCTGGGGATTTGGCTCAGGCCCATCTCACTGCCAGCACGAGGCTGTTCTCCCCCGCAGATGTCTGCTTGGGGAGCAGGAAGGAAGCAGCCATCCCACCCTGCGCCGAGCAGCTTACTGCTGTGCCAGCCAGCTCCCAGCTCCGTGCCTCGGTACCTGGAAACCTGCTGCAGGAAGCTGTCGTATGGCAGCAAGGGGCTTCTCACAGCATCTGCTCATCCCAGCAGTGCCCCTTCATGCCCCTGCATCCCAGGGATGAGATAGATGGCCTTGTGTTGGGAGCTGTCAAACCCAACTTGACCCCACTACAGTGAGTCTCGTGGCTGCTGAGGGTTCTATTCTCTTATATGGAGAAATTGAGGCAGGGTGGCTTCAGAGAAGCCTGGCATCCGACCTCCTGCTCAGAGCTGGCTCCTGATTCCATCTATCTGGGATGAGCAGGAAATCACAGATGCAGAGAGCTCCCTACCAAAGGAATCAGGGTTTCATTGCAGCCCTGAACGTACCAGTAGGATTCACTTTGTTCTCAGGGCAGGCAGGCGAGCATCCTTCAGGAAGAGGCTGCCCTGGAGGTTCCTGCAGCTCTGCACCACAGCACAGCCAGCAGCTCCCAGCTGCCCCTCACCTCTCAACCCACCCCCACTGCTCCCTCCACCCCCAGCAGAGGTAAGATCAGCCCACAGACCCCCCTGGAATCCCATCTCTCACCTCCTCCATTCTTTTGGCACAGGTAGGGGAATCGCCAGACATTTCCCAGCCCCACAGAGTAGCCAATCTGGGCCAGGATGTACTGCAGCTTGCTATTCCACGCCGGCCTGTTCTCTGCATCCAGCTCCTCCTCCCCGTCCTTCTGCTTATCCCAAGCCTCCCCTGTCACGTTGAGGACGCTGCGTTTGTAGTCCACGGGCTCCTCGTGAGCCAGCAGGTCGGCCACTGACTCGGTGACATGCTCACTGCTGTGCTCCCGCTGTGTCACTTTGCTGTTTTTCGGCATCGGGACGGCTCCGTGCCACCCCAGGGGCTGGGATGGGGTGAAGGGAGAAGAGGAACGTCCCGCTTGAGCTGCTCGGGGCTCACCTCCTCGTCATCAGCAGGACCTGTGTGAGAAGGATTCAGCAGCATGGTGGGGTTGGTTTTGCCTCATCCCGGTGCTGTTGGGACCGGCAGAGATGGTGGGGAGGGGTCACCATCACCCCCTGTGTTTCAGGGACATCCATTGGGCTGGGGGATGCTAAGTGGAAGCAACACCCTGCTGCTTCCTAACTGGGGAGAGTTCCCAGGGGGGAGCACCCATGGGTGCAAGCAGATGGTGACAGAGCAGTCCCCTCAGCCCTGCGCAGCCCCCCGGCTCAGTCCTGAAGGGCTACAGGGCTCGAAAGCACTTAGGTGACAGTGACAGAGGGCTCTCCATCCTCCTTGGATGGTATCAGGCACAAGGTGGGTGAGAGCCAGCAGCTAAATCACCGCAGGCAGCTCTATAGCAGATAACATCAGCAAAACAGCCACAGTGACACAAAGCCATCCATCGTCCAAGCCCTGCTGCCTTCCCAGCCTTGGCCTGGGAACCCAAGCCACAAGATCTGCGCAGTCTGAGCACTGACACCAGGGATCTTTGGCCATACTGGGAGAACTGGGGCCAGACTGGCTCGTGCCCCAGCTGGAGAACAACCATAGAAACTCCAAGCCGTGGAAAAATGACTCTTTCCCCAAGGGCCGTGTTTGCTTCCGTCTTCCATCCCTCCATTCCCTTTTCAGGGACATCAGTGTGACCACCAGTCCCTGGAGGAGCACTGGGGCCATGCCCAGGGTCCCAAAGGCCCCCCGTGTTTCTCCCGAGCTCCTCCATTTACACAGACACCCATCAACCCCAGCCCTGAGCACAGCTCACAACCCTGGGCCCTTCCAGAGCACGGGGCTCAGCCAGGCAGCCCTTCTCATTCCCAAGCATCCATCCCAGTGCTGGAGGGAGGCAAAGCAGCAGGACAGCTCACCCTCCTCGCCCTCACCTCTCTGCTTCCTCGCCCCAAAGAAAGTTCCCCGTGTGCCAGGCCCTGTTCCTAATAGAAAAGCTATTTTCAGTCAAAAGCCGCATCCGTTGCCAGGCAACTGCATCGCCTCACAGCCTTGGCTGGATCAGGCTCCTCCAGAGAAGCTGTTTGAATTATTCCTTCAAGCCTGGTCCAGCAGTGTTTCATTTCCTAACGAGGACCATTCGTATGAACCGTTCACAGTTCAACAGCAGCAATTACCAGCACAGGGCTGCCCACAGCCAGAGCATCCCCAGCATGGAGGGGGGGGGGTCCCGAGGCAGGAAATCACAGGGATTCCCACCGAGTTTGGGTCGGGTTCTGCAGAGACAAGAGGATTTGGGGGTGAAAGAGTGTGCTGAGCTGCTGTGCCAGGGCTGGGATAAGGGGCTGAGGCAGCACTGGAGGAGGAGAAAGGGGTAAGGAGCAGAAAGCTCCCCCCTGTGTGAAGTCGTATGGGAAAGCTGTGCTATAAGGATAATCTTCACCAGTGTTGCTGTCCCTGTGTCCCCACTGCTTGCTTGGGGACATCCTGCTGCTTCCCAGCCTGATGGCAGCAGTGCCTGCTGGAGGAGACCCTGCCTATGGAGAGGGGTCTGCCACGATGCTCCCAGCCAAAGCGCAGCTCAAATCCACCTGCAAAAACTACTTCTGCCCATGTGTTTGATTGGAAGGGAAATTTAATCAAGGAATTCATCTCCCAGAACAACAACAACAACAATAACGACGCTGCAAGGAAGGTCAGCTGACAACCAGGAGCTTCTTGGCTGCAGAAAGACAGAACCCCCTTGTAGCAGACAGATGGAGATTCAGCTTGTGGACGACCTTCACCTTCTCACATGTGTGGTTTTCTTTCTCTTCTGAAGGAAGATCACAGCCCACCAGTGGATCTGGGTGCCTCCCCACGGCGATCATAGAGGGGTCCAGGAAGGCACCAGTACGAACTGGGAGGGCTGGGACAGCAACAGTGCCTGTGAGATGGGAGCAGCTGCCAGCACCCATGGGGAGCAATAGGGAGAGGAGCAGGAAAGAGCACCACTGCCCTGGGATAACCCACCTCCCCACGCTCCTGCCATGGTTTTTCCACTTGCTGAAAAGGTGATTGGAGAGGCTGGAATCAGCCAGCGGCAGTGGAGCTCAGGGCCCAGGGTGTGTGGGCACAGGGAAGCTCTCTCCTCTCCCAGGGACAGAGCAGCTCCTGCATCCGAATTCTACACTTACGTTCCATTTGGGGGCAATTGAGGCAACAACAACAACAAAAAAGCCAGGCTGGGATGCAATGAATTCAAAATAATCCTCAAATTCAAACCGTGGGGTCTCTGCACTGGCACAGCGCCCTGCTCCCTCCACCAAGGTCACAGAGCAGGAAAGGAGAGCGATGGATCCAGGCACAGAGGGATGCCAGGGATGGATCTGAGGGATCCAAGCGTCCCCATCCTGGGACACCACACCGAGGGCTGAGCTTTATGCTGCAGATGAGGAGGGGACAGACCCAAGGTCACCCATGGGACCTGGGGAGCTCGCAGAGAGGTGGAGGCACAGAGCAGGCACCTCTGCCATCTCCCTTTTGCACCCAGCAAGGCCGAGCAGCGAAGCCAAGAGGAGAGCAGTGGGGAACCTGCTGGGAACAGCATCGCTCTGCATCACAGTGAGAGCACACAGAGCCCTTCAGCCCCGGCAAATCAAAGGCAGAGTGCTTGGAGCGGCATCCCGACCGCATGGCAGAGCCCCGAGGAGACGCTTCTGCCCCACAGATAAGCAGCTCGGCTCTCCCACAGCCCCCTCCAAGCGCAGCTCCCATCGCACACAGACCTGCCTCCATCTTAACGCCGCTCCTCGCTCCCAAACCAGGAGACTCAGAGCTCCCGCTCGGCTCTTCCTCACCCTCCTCATCCTCTCCTGCTCCACGGGGGAAGGCTTTTGCCATCCGAGCTCATTAGGGTCGCTCCCTTTCCTTAAGCAAACCCTGCTAATTAGCGCCAGGCTCCGCCACTCTCCAGAGGTGACGCGCGGTGACTCGGTGGCAGCGGTCCCACATCACGGGGTCCCCCCCAGACCCCCAAACTCACACAGCGCGAAGGGAACACGCAACCAGGGGGTCAGCAGAGCAGGCCGAGGGGAAACGCCGCAAGGAGACGCGCTGGACCCCGGGCTCCCACCTTCGCAAGCAGTTTGCGTGCAGCTCCGCGGCGCTCAGCCGGCATTTATTGCCGGGGCGGATGGGGGGGAGATGCTCAGAGCTGCTCTCCTCATTCAGACTCGTTTTAGCGTCGTGACACAGGAGCAGTTCGCGTTCGAGGATGAATCAGAGCTGCCTCCGCTTCTGCCTTACCCCCCTCCTCCCCCCCCC